TTTTCCTTTCACCTCCTGATATGCCTTTTACGAATCCACCGCCTACTCTCGTGTGCCGGCATCTGCATGCACCTCTTATCATCAAACCTCCTGATATTAATTATCTCATATATGAATCAAACAAACCTCTCGAGGCCGAGCTCCTTAACAATCATCTCAACTCGCTCGTACTTCTGTCGGTAGCTCATTCGGCTCGGAAGTCTCAGAAAAGCAGCAAAAACTAGAGTCTCCTCAACGGTTAGCTGTGGAAAAAGGACGTCGTCTTGTGTAACGAAACCAATCCTGTAGCACAACAGAAAAAAAAGTACACAAATTGGAGATATTTTATTTTGTTTTATTATTTATACAATTATATTTGTTAATTTTACCTTCTCTTCAGAGCAGGACTATATGACACGTCATTGTAGGTAACGGTTCCTCTAACATTGTCGTGCAGCCGGCCTCCGATAATCTTGAGCAAAGTGGTTTTCCCACTGCCTGAAGGCCCCATGAGCGCTAGGATCTCACCTGGACCGATACTTCCAGTTATACCCTTCAATATTTGCTTGTAATCATCTTGCTCCATGTTCAGCTGCGAGGCCATTTTCGACACCACAGCCTTAACCGGGTTTACTGACGACTTGTTACGAGCTCTTACCTTAAACTCCACATCTGCAAACTGCACTATACATTAAAAAAAAAACATATGTATCGTGGGATTTAACTATAAAATTAAAGAAAGAAAATAAAACATTAATATTAGGTTGAGATTAATCGACCTTGAGAAAAATGGGGAGGGTCCGATCTTGCCTCATTCTCGGTACGACTTCTTCCTCGATATCGATTTCTGAATTGTTGTTAGTTATGTAAGCCTGGGACATGAACTCAATGTTGTGGCCAAAACCGTTGCTGCTTGCAATCTGCATGGAGCCCAAAGTCGGGGGAGACGATGTTAGTCGACCTTCGATCTCATCTTGGTTCCTACTTCCCATTTTTCTTGGATTATTGTTTGTTCATTCACCTAGTGTTTCATCAGTTGATGTCTTGTTATATAGTTGTTTTGTTGTGAACAAAAATCGTGCATGTAATTTTCAGGCAAGAATGGTAAAGTTGTTAGGAAACAAGCTTTTTATGCATGGTCATGATCAGGTGGAAAAGAGTTAGATGGCTTGCTCTTCTTTGTTAGTTGCCTCACACGTTTGGCAATACATACATTGACTTCTTGGCAATTTTATTTAAAGGGTAAATGAATTGAATTCGGAATTGGAGTTAATTAATACTCCAAATTGTTCCCCCTAATGCTCACTACATTGATCGTGACCCTTGCACAAAGAATTATTTTAATTATCTCGATTAAAATTAATATTCTAAAGGTAAGAAACGGGGGAAAACAAGTGCAGTACCATGCACGTAAAGTGCGACAGAGAAAGGCTAAATGGTCAAGCTTTAAGATAAAGTTTCTACCTCTAACAATTAAGAGCATGCAATTGAGGGCACTAATTTATCCTAGTCTAGCAACTTAACCACAAGATGACTAATTTCCTAATCCCTAGCAACTTAACCACAAGCTTCAATAATTTTGTATGTGTAGGACTCTAATGTGATTTTGACGACTAGATAGTGAACGAAACTCTTAATAGCCTTCCTTTGAGAACGACCTGAGTCGGGTAGCTCGGTTACCATCTATCCACAAAATACTACAAACAAATTAGCGTCGTTGCCGGAGAAGACGAGTAGGACGCTAAGTTTACTATATAGTTGTCGTTTTTTACGTGTTTCTTTTGTTTTTCGTAGATTTTGCTTAATTTTGCGTGTTTCTCTGGATTATTTTCTTATTTTTCATCGGTTTTGCTATGAAGCCAATAGTTGGCTCCATTATGGAGCCAACCTTCTATATACAACAAGTAAACCTACCATATTCGTCGATTACTTAAATAACACTAATATAATTTTATTAATATGGTAAGTTTACTTGTTGTATATAGAAGATTGACTCTACTATGGAACCAACTGTTGGCTTCATAGCAAAACCGTATTTTCATTTCTCTTGCTTTTTTTGTATGTGTTTTCGTGTAAATATCATTTCATCCTAGTTGTGTTTTTCTTTTCTTTTGCCGTGTGCTTTTGGGTTGTTTTGTTGTTCGTGTGCGAAGTACTTCGCTTGAGGAGCAGGATTCATATGACTATTCTTATGCCGATAGCTCATTTCGTGGATACCGCGACACCTACCATGAGGAGATGCATTCATATGGAGGGTCGCCCATCCGTATCCAAGCTATTCACCTTCTTATTCCTAGGACGAATACTCTATATCCCAAAAGTATGCTCGAGTCATTCTTTACCCACGTCTCAAGACAAATATGGTTATTACACTCTGGGTCCCGAGATGCCATTGTTATCCGCCCCACAATTTTTATGATGCAAGACCTTCACCTGAGCCGACTCGAGAAACTTCTCAAGTCCGTTTAAATGAAATTATGGAGAAATTAGGGGGCAGGAACAATAGCCCCATATTCAACAAATGGTTATGTCCCGTCCCGCTTGTTGCGTCGGTAGGCCTGGCATAGCTCTCCTCTCTGTCGCCTCGTGAAACTCATCAGGACGCGATGGCCTCGCAAAGGTTGCTCCCGCAGTGTAGCTTGGCTTCGCGACAGTTAATAATTATGAGATGTACAATTGTTTGAAAATAGTTTCGTGCATAAAATAAATGACTAGATGGTTATTAGATTTTAAATTATTATACCGCGTATTATATAAAAGCAACTCGGGATTATCAATTTATCACGTAACTTGGGGACCAAGTTAGAGCGTTTTATGCCGAATGTTGTACTCTATTTTAAACAGAAAATCTGATATGATATTAATCCCCACAAGAGTATAAGATATACATGCTATTACTTTAATTACTTTAATTATTAATTAACTAACTAATTATTACATATATAATAAACATTTTAAAAATAAATAATTACCGTCTCCTATAAATTCCCTATATCCCTTGCAACTCCTGATTCGCGCGGCGCTTCCATGGCCGCCTCATAGTCTCAGAGCTCTCAAATCCTCTGTGAACAAACAATAGTCGTCTCCACAACAATGAAGGGCTCTTCTAGGGTTCCGATTCCCGATAACCTCCGGGGGACGATTCGGAATATCAAGGAGATTGCCGGAAAACACAGCGAAGATGATATATACGCGATGCTCAAGGTCTGCAACATGGATCCCCACGAGACCACCCAGAAGCTTCTCTACATTGGTATGCGCATATTTTTATATGAACCGTTTTTAGTGGGCTACATGATCGTTCGTTCACCAAGCTATACTTGTGTATGCGTGCTTTTGTTTTCGTTGATACATTGATTATAATTTTGGTTGTAATTTTCGGTTCTGTGATTTGTTGGTATCGTTTGGTTGGTTAGTTCAGAGGAGCTGGCACAGTGTAGTGAAATATTGTGATTCTTGAAATTGAAAGGTGCTTGTTTTTTGCCCTTTGTTGATGTAGAACTGATAAGCTAATGAATTTCTTTATCCTAGCGTTGCTATATAAGCCCTTATTTGTTAAGAGGCTTGTTGATTAATGTTAACTTAATATATAGTTGCATAATCTGTATTTGGAATAATTGCAGTTGCGTATTGTTCGGTAGTATTTACTTATCTTGGATTTTGAAGTGATTGGTAGTATTTACTTATCTTGGTAGTATTTACTTATCTTGAATTAATGTTAACTTAATATATAGTTGCATAATCTGTATTTGGAATAATTGCAGTTGCGTATTGTTCCGTAGTATTTACTTATCTTGGATTCTGAAGTGAACTGTTGAATATTGACATTTTACACCACATAAAGTGACTGTGGTGATTGATTTTCCGAATAGAGAACTAGTTACCTTTCATATCTGTTTATATGTGTTTTCTTTTTTCAGACACATTTCAGGAGGTTAAACCAAAACGTAACCAGAGGAAAGTGGTAAGTGATCAACTGCACTGATAGCTATGTTGTCAAGTATTGACTGTATTTTGTTTAGGATTTCATTTTTGCACTGTACCTCTCTTCTTTTTCTGGCAGAACCCCATTTTAACTTCGTATTTCTGCCTTGTCGCAGAGTATTGACAACAGAGCTTCGAAAGAACATAGCCAAAGAACTGACAAGCAGGAGAGGAAGACTAGGGGTGACAGCAATTATCCTTCTAATAGTTCAGATGGTATAACTTTTCTATTTGAGTTTCTTGAAAGTTGTGACTTCTCTTCTTTGCATTATCGATACATTCTGCATTTCCCATTGATAATATTGGTTACAAGTCCTATAATAATTTTAGAGCTTTAGATCTTCGTTGATGCAAGTTATATCACGAAAATCCCACTTTTGTGGTGAACTTTAATTTGGACGATTTTGGTAAGTGTAGAAGGTACACATCTAACGACGTTAAAGTTGGGCACGACTTGAAATTATCCTCTATTTCCTTTTAATTTGCTTTATTTTTTTCCTTTTCTTCGTTTTTATGATTTAACTAGTTGCCTCAAGAGCTTTTTCTTTTGTAATGCTTTTATTGTCTATAAATGTATATGAAAATGCCCTATGACGTCTGAACGCTATTGTTAAATTACTGGATTTTCTAAATTATTCTAGGTGCCTCGTTATTTTAAGATTTGAAGCCTAAAGTGCGGAATATGAATTGGTCATAGAGAACGAAAAAAGATCTGTATCAAGTCACCATATCACTCAAATTTTCTTCTATGTTGTCACTAAGGACTATCACATGTTTCTTGAAAGTTATTATATTTCATGTCTATACATTTTGTTTTTAACAGTTAATGGAATTGGGAAAGATATATGCTTAGATGATACTTGATAATGAATAGGGCTCTTTCTAGATTCTACTACATTATAATGTACCATAATTTTGTGGGTACATCTGCAGCACTTGTAAAAAATGATGTGAGTACCTAGTGTCACTTCAATATGACTCACTGTCATTAACAGTTGGACCTTCTATGCAACTCATAGCATTCTGATTTGATTCTGTAGGTAGACAACAACGTAATGCTAGGCGAGACAATGGTTTGAGCGGATCTTCTAGGTCCTGTAAGCAAGTTATTCATAAACAAATAGATGCTGTTGGAAGGTAAAGATCACTGAATAAGATACATGTTCATGATTTGGATATGCTCATGATGTGTACATAATACACCTCAGAACTTTTTATCCACTGGGGCATGCAACTTAACATTTTTAGGATATATTATTCAGAACAGTAACCCCTTCACATGACTCAACCAGCGCATGCAACAGAATCTCCAGCCGTGAACTGCCTTCCCAATCATCCAATCGTAGCATCAGTGGTGTAACCAAAGATAACAAGTCGGACCACAGCAATAAGCTCACAAAATCATCATCTTTGTGGCCAGTCACAGTGAAGCAGTTGCAGGATATAGGTCCGGGTCCCACTCCCACGTCGACGCCCACCAATCCATCCACAGAAGCTGCATCGAGAGGCAGGAGCTTGGGGAGGAAATCCCATCTTGGTAAAAATAAGGGCTCGATCGCTGTGTCCGGTGAGTATTCCTCCTCATCGGACCTCGTCTTATTGCCATCACTCAAATCTCTGAACCCCGGCTCAGCAGGTATTATCAAGAGTGAGACAAAGAATCTGTATGATTCTGTTAAGAATCTGGAGATTGGCCAAGTGGTGTTAGGGTCATTTGACTTGGACGATTGCATACGGTTCAGTGACCAGAAAGCTTGCTCAGCTCAATTGGGCAATGGATCTTTGGAAGGTAATGTTTTGTAATTTTCTTTTCACCTCTACTTTAGAAATATCTCTTCTTTCTTCTCGTCCTGTTTCATCTCGACTGTAGAAAAACCTCTTTTCATACTAACAGGAAAATGAAGTGGATTATTGAAGCTGAATGATGGATTACCATAGATATCTTTAAATTAGTACCTGATGAAATAAGTGTTTTTAATATAATAACACCGTAAACTTCCGACTTGCATTCTGGAGTGTTCTTTAAACTAGAAGATTGACCTGGTTCCTAGGTCATTAATTTTGTAAAGGTATTACTGTATTGTATTAGGTGTATCTTCTTACTTAATCTGTGCTTCCATGTTGTGTTAGGTCTATCTTCTTACTTAACAGCTTCTTTGATGTATGCATATGTTTCTTGCTTCCGTCTGCATGCACAATATCTTATAATGAATGATTATGTGTTTCAGGAATGTCTGCGGGTATTGCTTTGGGAGATAACCAAGTAAATTCCCAAGTTGGTGTTCGGCTGCACAAGTCGCGTGTTGCTGCTAAGAAGTCTGTTATTTTCCCCAATCATCTTCGTGTGTCTGTACCTAAAGGTTTGACGTTTGGAAGTTTATTTGATCCTTCAGTTGAACAGAACAATGAGGACTCTTGTTCTACAGATGCTTCAGGCCCAATGTAAGTAATTTGAAGCTTTTATTCCATCTTTCTTTTTGGGTGTCCGCAAAAATTCATTCTTATTATACATGTGCATGGACTGTGTGCTAATTTATTCCTATCATCTGTGACCTATGAACATTACCTTATTACCTTTTTGTCATTATACGTTGCAGTCCCGAGTCGTCTTCCCCGTCATCTGCACACGATGGTTATACTGGTCAGCCTGTCTCTACTCCCCCACAAAGTATTCAACCCATTGGGGAATCCCACGGCCCACTTCTCCATCCCACATCGGAGTATACCACGAATATTGTACTCCCTAATGTGGGTTCCCACCTTGTGCAGCCACCAGGACTTGAGCAACAGGCACGTTTTGCTGTCACGCGCCTTAAGATCATATCTGATATTTCTCTGTGTTCATGTATTTTGTCTGCACAGCACACTTTTGCTCTGAGATGAAGTAACTTCAGCTGTGATGTTTCAGTAGTTTCTCGTCTTTACATTAGGTTAACAGACATTGATAATTTTTTTTTTATTGAACTTTTCATTGGTTTTAATGTTTTTTCTATACAGGGAGGAAGTTCAGTGCCAACAGCCGACTGTAATAAGGCTCCATTTCAGACTCAACCAGGCATAACGCAGGGTTCTGTTGCCATGCCCCCACAAATGTTCACTTTCTTCAGGCAGCCATACCCTCCCAACTACATTCCCTACAGTCCTTACTATTCCCAGCTTTACAATTATATGCCCCCTCAAAATGCACACCAGCTGATGGGTCACGGTGGGTTTACCCATCAGCCTCCGCCGGGTCCCATTTATGTACCACAGTCTGCTTCTGGTGCTAAATTGCCTGTCCCACCAGTTTACAACCCGGCAAACACGACCCACTTGGGGAATTTTCCTTATGGGGCTTTGGGTTATGGTTCTGGTGCAGTTTTGCCTTCTTCCAGCCAGGATGATGATATTTCGGGATCTGAGCTCAAGGATAAAAATATGCACTCCAATCTCAAACAGGTTTCTGATAGTTTATTGGATTGCATGATTTATAAAATGCATAATTAAATGCTTGATGATCGTTCATTAAGGTTTACCATATCCATTCAACAAATATATTAATTACGACAAATTTGGTAAAAATCTATTTTTGCTTTAGCTAAATTTAACAGGCTTCACTTTTTTTATTCAGACATAATTGTATTAAGAGCCAAAGGAGATTGTCCTTTTTTTCTTTTGTAACATTATCAGTCTTTTGTTTGTTTGATTTTTAACAGTAATTTAATTTGATAGGAAATTGGTCTCGAGCAGAATGATAATTCACACCTAGTGTCTGGTGCATCTGGACAGGACACGTCAGTTTTGCAGTCAAATGTTTTTTACAACTTTCCACATGGATTGTCAATGGGCTTTCCACCTGCACAAGTCGCGGGTCACACTTCGTTTGCTGGTATTTATCATCCGTCCCAGAGCATGTCTGCATCGACCCACCACTCTCAGTCGACCGACTCTATTGTTTCTTATCCTCATTTGCCACAGTTTCCACCAATACCTCAAGAGAAGTGATGAGTTGGAACCACAAGCCAAGTGATGGGTTGGAACAAAAAGCTTTTGAATAGAGGCAAATTATGTGGTCTCAGGGTAGGAATATGAAGTGCAGCTGTGTGAGAGATGGGGATAAATTTTTAGGAAGGTTAGCAAGCGATTCAAGGTCTTTTGTCGGGTCAAGGGATGAACTTTTTCCACTCTTTTGGAATTTACTAATAGGTAGTTCTTGTTTATTACATTCAGCTTTTGTTGAGGCGTCTTCAGATGTGCGTGCACAACCGACCCGAGTTTAGTCTATAATTATAAATGTCCAAATACATACCTGAAATTGTTCGACTATCAAAATATTGAAGAGTTGCAAGAAAACGAACTCCACAAAGTACATACATATGAACGTTCTTTCATCTAATATCCAATCACATTATCAAACTCTACTGCTGAGTTACACTCATGGACTGATAATTCTGCCCTCGCAGATATTCTGTAAAAGAGGAGCCCTTTGGTCATTTGATTCCATGTTTTTCGTGGAGCCCTCATCATCATTAGTCATCTTTGCTTCTTTGGCTTTTCCCCAGATGACACAGTAAAAACCAACCACGGTAACAATCGATCCTATTAGACTGTGACAAATTGAAACGGCGATTATATGAGGAAAATACTTACAATCATGTTCATCTTTTCACAACGCAATGAGTATGCATGGAACTAAATGTAACATTCAACAAACATAAGTACCTTCCAAGGTAGAGGGCCTCTCCCAAAATGATGATACCAAGTGCCATTGCAAAAACAACTCCCAAAGGATGGAAAAGTGATACAAACACAGGTCCCCTTCTTCTCACACACCACATTATAATCGATACTTGGAATGTATTTCCAAAAAAAGCCTGGAAACAGTCGAAACATATGCCGATTGAGATATTTACACTTAATTGGTCGTGAAGTATAGATTTTTTCCACACTTACCGAGTATATAACAGGAATCAACCTCATCTTAGGTTTGAGGCTCCATGCATTTAAGTCTTTTTCAACAATCAAAGAGACTAGTGCAGATAAAATGGCGATAAAGCAACTGTAGAATAACATGAGAATGAGCTCTGCATGGCATTTTAGGAGAACCATGGCCTGTATACAGAAATTAGACAAACAAAAGTAGTCATTTTTACCGTTAATTTGATGTTTACAACACTGAGGTTCGCCTAAAAAAGAAACAAAAAAAAAAAAAAATTGTAGAATTTTGAAAACAATGATAAATCTTACTTGTGCAATGATAAACAATGCTGACACCACACAGTCAATAGTAAGAAGCAGTCCCCCGATTAGCCAAGCAGACGAGTAGTTCGTGGGAATGTGAAAAGAAGAAGCATCATTCGAGACATGAGATGAAAATCCCATAATTGGAGGGCCCTGATAAAGAGTTATGATCAGAGCACCAATCACTGTTACCAGAGTCCCTATAGATTTAGCCACTGTGGTCTTACTTGTGATTTTGAACTTTTCCATCCTGAAAAAAAAAAAAGGAACGTTAGATTTCACATGTAACCTCAAATGCAAGAAATGATGTTACAAGAAAACGTAGATGCGACTAATAAAACCTGAAAATGACGGCGAAAACGAAAGTGAAACCCGGAATCAGGTTGAGTATTGTAATCGAGAGAGTGGCAGAGGCAAACAGAATCCCAGCATATCCTAATATCTGCACTATGAACCTATAATAACAAATAAACAAATAAGTAAAATAGTTACACAGTTTCTTTTACAGACAAATCGTTAGAGTCGACAAACGAAATATATTCCGGGTTCGCCTACCCGATAAATCCAAGCAAGAAGAACCCACAAACGAAAGCGAGAAAAAGCGGAGGAAGAGCAGATCTGCAAGTCAAGAAAATGAGAATTTGTGATGAATGACATGAAAGCATATATATGTGAAGTATCTGTTTTCCCCCTTAGTTACCTGTAAATGAAAAAAGAGAGTGGAAGCAGAACAAGTGAGGCCAGTGCATTTGAATATGAAGCAAATGTTAAAGGAGTCATCCCATTGGACATTGCTAACTTGCCTGCTAACATTAAGCCCACCTGTGCAAATTGGACTGTCACCATTCCCACATATGGTCCTGCTCTCTCTATCAACCCCATCTCTCTCTCTCTCTCTCTGTCTCTCTCTCTCTGTCTCTCTCTCTCTCTCTCTCTCTCTCTCTCTCTCTCTCTCTCTCTCTCTCTCTCTCTCTCTCTCTTTCTCTCTCTCTCTCTCTCAAACAGAGAACTCTGAGTGCACTAACCAGTATAAGTCTGGCTGTGTTTGGTTCAACTGAGAGCTACTGAAGTATAAAAAAAATTGGTTTCACTATAATTTTGATCACATAAATCTGTTCAATATTGCAAATTTAGGCCATGTGGGATTTTGATTTGTATCATTCTGACCCATTGAGTTCCTGAAAATGTAACTTTGGTATTGTGTGTGTGTGACAAGAATTAGTATTATGCAAGAAATATGGGGCTGAAACTATAATTGAAGTATTATTTTCTTTACATGTAAGTCCTTTGATCGAGGTTGTTTCACATGCAATTTAATAGAGATATATTAATTACATCTAAAGTGATCGCCTATTGGGTCGTCACTGGTTGTACGAACAAAAGTATTAAATAATTAAGGACGTTTTAATTTGTTAAGCAAAAGTTTAGTTTAAAAGTTTCTGTCAATTTGTAATGGTTGGAATATATTTTTATTTATTAACCACTTCCAACTTGGACTCATTCAAAAATGGAGCAGAGATGTGTACTTTAATATTTGATTATGCATGAATTGCGTGTCACATTGGTGGCTTCACTATTGCTCAATTTATTAATACTAGTACTAATACCCACTTACAACATGGATGTTGAGTTAATGAATATATGTGTAAAGTTATTTATATCTAACATCAAACCTAACTTCAGAGCAAAAATAATATAAAAACAACATCACGAAGCATAAATGTCCGTCATGTCAGCATCCGAAGCGTGAGAATCTGTCACCTAGACTCAACACGTTTTGAATTAATATAGAGGGAGAGATATGAACAAAATAAATAAATAAATAAATAACATAAAGGCCGCATTGTATTAGAATAAATATTTTTTTTCTCACTCTTAATTAACATGCTTGATTTAGGAATATCTATATCTATCTATCTATATCTATATCTATATCTATACTACTTTAAAAAGGAGGAGTGTTTTTGTAAAAATTCATAATGCCTAAAAAAGCCCTTACTTTGACATAAATTTAATGACAAATTAGTAATACACTAATACACATCATATTTTATTTATATTTTTAATTAAAAAATGAACTACCTAAAAAACTCTTACTTTCACATGTTTTTAATGGCAAATTGGTAATATACTAATGTCATCATATCTTATATCCTCCCTATATATAATTAAAAAAAAACATAATTTTTCTCAATTCAACATAAGCAAATCAATGAAAATAATATATTTTAAAAAATTTTATGAACAAAAGTTGACTCGACAATATTATTAATGAATTTATGAATTGTAAATATTTAAACTAAATATTCATTAAAAAATTGTAATTATATATATAATATAATATAGAATATACAAATATTTAATATATAATGTGGCAGATGATCGAAAAAATTTTATACTTTATATTATGTCTTTTTTGACAAATCTATAGTTAAGAACATGTAAAAGAACAAGATAAATTTTTAAAAAAATATTAAATATAAGAAATAATATGAATAATAACTAAGTTGTGACACGTACTAATAAATATAAAACAAACTAATAAACAAAAATAATATAATTAATATATCTAAATATAAACCTTGTAAAAATATACTTATCGATGTGATCGAACTGAGTTGTTAAACCCTTGTTAACGCTTGTTAGTTTTTTTTTCTTATTACTTTTATGTGTAAATTTGAGTTGATAGACAATAGTTATTTGTACATTTATACATGTAGATTAAAAAAAAAAGTATCTTTATTATTCTAATTTTAAATAACTTTTTTATTTACTATATTAGATTTTTAATATAATATATAAGTACCATATTGAACAGATAAAACAAGAAATATTTTAATTATATAATATTTAATATGTAAGAATTGTAACTCAATTGGTAAATTAATAGGTAATCTTGGGATAAAATAATGAGTGATTTATGAAAAAAAAAATATAGGAACTAAAAAGTTCACGTGTTTAATATATTTTTAATAGAAAAATATAAACACAATTACTCAATAAATACTACATAAAAAATATAAGAAATCTTATATCCTCCCTATATGTAATTAAAAAACATAACTTTCTCAATTCAACATAAGCAAATCAATGAAAATAATATATCTTTAAAAATTTTATGAACAAAGTTGGCTCGACAATATTATTAATGAATTTATGAATTGTAAATATTTAATTAAAATATTAATTAAAAAATTGAAATTAAATATAATATAATATAGGATATACAAATATTTGATATATAATGAGGCAGATGATCTAAATAATTCTATACTTTATATTATGTCTTTTTGACAAATCTACAGTTAAGAACATGTGAAAGAACAAGAATAAAGGTTTAAAAAAATATTAAATATAAGAAATAATATGAATAATAACTAAGTTGTGACACGTACTAATAAATATAAAACAAACTAACAAACAACAATAATATAATTAATATGACTAAATGTAAACCTTCAGAAAATATACTTATCAATGTAATCGAACTGAGTTGTTAAACACTTGTTAGCTTTTTGTTCTTATTAATTTTATGTGTAAATTTGAGGTGATAGACAATAGTTATTTGTACATTTATATATGTAGATTAGAAAAAAAATCTTTATTATTCTAATTTTAAATAACTTTTTTATTTACTATATTAATTTTTTTAATATAATATATAAGTATCATATTGAACAGATAAAACAAGTAATATTTTAATTATATAATATTTAATATGTAAGAAATGTAATTCAATTGGTAAATTAATAGGTAATCTTGGGATAAAATAATGAGTGATTTCTGAAAAAAAAAAATTATATGAACTAAAAAGTTCACGTGTTTAATATATTTTTAATAGAAAAATTGTAAACACAATTACTCAATAAATACTACATAAAAAAATATAAGAAATCTTATATCCTCCCTATATATAATTAAAAAACATAACTTTTCCCAATTAACATAAACAAATCAATAATATATTTTTAAAAATTTTATGAACATAAGTTGACTAGACAATATTATTAATGAATTTATGAATTGTAAATATTTAATTAAAAAATTGTAATTAAATATAATATAATATAGGATATACAAATATAGTTAAATCAATTTTATTAAGTATAAAATAACATAAGATAAACTTGTGGTATGTTTTCCATACATAAATTTGAAACAATTCATATTAAAAAAAAAAAAGTAAAAAAAATGGGTGTAAACTTCTAACTGTTCCACGTTTTGGTTAGAGCGTCCAAATCCGATATATGTTTGACACGAGTTTGTCGTAATGCTGAAACTATGGCAAATGCACCTTAGGGTACAAACGAAGCGAAGCAATGTGAAGTCATAGATAAAATGAAAGGTTAGGCCAGAGAAAGGAAATGAAATAACGTTAGCTATGTGAAGTCAATTACTGCTGCAAAATGAACCCTATAATGGTTGTACCATATATGTATTCAGTGATTATGAAAATGACTTAGTTAATTAATATTTTATCAAACATTGAAAACAATTCTAAAACTTTTTAATTTAATAATTCGTATAAAAAGTACAATTTTATCAAATATATTAAATTACATTTAATCTTATGTGATTATAAAATTAATGAATTTATGAATTGTAAATATTTAACTAAAAAATTGTAATTTAATATAATATAATATAGGATATACAAATATAGTTAAATCAATTTTATTAAGTATAAAATAACATAAGATAAACTTGTGGTATGTTTTCCATACATAAATTTGAAACAATTCATATTAAAAAAAAAGTAAGAAAATGGGTGTAAACTTCTAACTGCTCCACGTTTTGGTTAGAGCGCCCAAATTCGATATATGTTTGACACGAGTTTGTCGTAATGTTGAAACTATGGCAAATGCACCTTAGGGTACAAACGAAGCGAAGCAATATGAAGTCATAGATAAAATGAAAGGTTAGGCCAGAGAAAGGAAATGAAATAACATTAGTTATGTGAAGTCAATTACTGCTGCAAAATGAACCCTATAATGGTGGTACCATATATGTATTCAGTGATTATGAAAATGACTTAGTTAATTAATATTTTATCAAACATTGAAAACAATTCTAAAACTTTTTAATCTAATAATTCGTATAAAAAGTACAATTTTATCAAATATATTAAATTACATTTAATCTTATGTGATTATATTAATTGTAGCCTAATAAATAAGATAATTTGATACCATCATTATATAAAACACATACAAAAAATAACATAATACGTATAAATGTGCTTTAGTTACTTAGCAAATAAAATATTATTTGTCAGTGAGAAAAAAAAAACATGCTAATTTTCTTAGAAAAGTATAAATACCAATATTTACAAACAAAAAGTCCTTTAAAATTACTACTTTTTTGGTGCTAGCGTTTAAATATATGGACTCTGTAGGAAATTGGTTCTCATAAATAATGATCATATATTATTTATTTTCAATTTTAAATAATTAAAAAATCTAAAAATTTGTATACATGATGTATATTTTAATCATGACTCCATAATAATAAACTTTATAAATGACTAAAAGTATCGTCATATAATGGAATTCTAATTCTTCTGTTTTCAAATATTTTAACAAATGATATGATTCTCAATATTTTCTCATTGTTTTGTTTTATCATTGCAAAAAATAGATTATATTGTTCGTCTATATTCTAGATAAATAATACTGAAAATGAAATGTAGGAGTATCAAAACAGTTTTGAATGTTAGAATTAAGTTGTCATTTTCTATAGAAATATTTATAATCTCATTGGTGTATTGTGCTTGAACATATGTGCAATTACTT